TGCCCGCGAGGCACACCATGGTCACCTGTGGCCACCTGTGGCCCTCCACGGCCACCTCTGACTCCTTATGGTCACGGATGCACACCATGGCCACCTGTGGCCCTCCACGGCCACCAATGACTCCTTATGGTCACGGAGGCACACCACGGCCACCTGTGGCTCCATGAGGTGGCTGGACAGACGGCCAGAGGCAGGGAAGGACCACGGCGGTGCCTGCTCACCCCCGTTGCAGATGGTCCCCGACTCGAACCAACAGCCGGCGTCGGTGCCGGGGCTGGAGCTGTGCGGCCAGTGGACGCTGTAGCCACGGTGGCTCAACCCCCGCGTGCCCGGTTCCAGTCCGTAAACTGGCCACAACTGGTCGCCTTTGCCGTCCGTGTCCAGCACCACGTAAGGGACGGTGACGTCCCCGTCCTCGGTGACGGCGAAGGGTTGGCAGAAGCCCTCCAGGTGGAAGTCGCGGGCGTGTTCGGCCACGCTGCTGCCCATCACCCAACGGCCGCTTCGGCGCGTGGCCTCCACCGCCTTGGCCAAGAAGTGGATGGAGTTGTAGATGGTGGCGAAGAGGGGGTGGACCTGTGGGGTGAGAGAGGGGGGTGAGGTACCACCAGCAGCTCCAGGGGGCCGTGGTGGCACCCGTAGGACAACGCCGTTGGCCGTGGCCATCTCCCCCCAAGCTGAAGTCATCTCTACCTGGCGCTGTTGGCCACGGGTCACGCCTTCAGCCAGCTCCCATTGGCTACTTTCACATCCGCCCCTCCTCCCATTGGCCATGGCCATCTCTCTCCAACCTCTACAAGCCACGACCATCCCCACCCAAGTCCCATTGGCCACATTCTCCACCAACTGCCCCACCCTACGTCCAACCCCTAACCCTGATGGCACCCAGCCCTGCCCCACGGACGTGTCCCCCACCCCACGGACGTGTCCCCACCCCACAGATGTGTCCCTCACCCCACAGGTGTGTCCCCTATGGACATGTCCCTCACCCCACGGACGTGTCCCTCAGCCCACAGACGTGTCCCTCACCCCATGGGTGTGTCCCTCACCCCATGGACATGTCCCCCATGGACGTGTCCCTCACCCTACAGACGTGTCCCTCACCCCACGGACGTATCCCTCACCCATGGACATGTCCTCCACGGACGTGTCCCTCACCCCATGGACATATCCCCCACGGATGTGTCCCTCACCCCACAGACGTGTCCCTCACCCCATGGAGGTGTCCCTCACCCCACGGACGTGTCCCCCACGGACGTGTCCCTCACCCCACAGACGTGTCCCCCACGGACGTGTCCCTCACCCCATGGACATGTCCCCCACGGATGTGTCCCTCACCCCACGGACGTGTCCCTCACGGACGTGTCCCTCACCCCACAGACGTGTCCCCCACGGACGTGTCCCTCACCCCATGGACATGTCCCCCACGGATGTGTCCCTCACCCCACGGACGTGTCCCTCACGGACGTGTCCCTCACCCCACAGACGTGTCCCCCACGGACGTGTCCCTCACCCCATGGACATGTCCCCCACGGATGTGTCCCTCACCCCACGGACGTGTCCCTCACGGACGTGTCCCTCACCCCACAGACGTGTCCCCCACGGACGTGTCCCTCACCCCATGGACATGTCCCCCATGGACGTGTCCCTCACCCTACAGACGTGTCCCTCACCCCACGGACGTATCCCTCACCCATGGACATGTCCTCCACGGACGTGTCCCTCACCCCATGGACATATCCCCCACGGATGTGTCCCTCACCCCACAGACGTGTCCCTCACCCCATGG